CTCTCTTCAATTCTTGGAAGGTGCTGTATCATTCCACAATTCTTATGGAAACTTTTCAGTGTGTTTCTGGTTTTGTTGGGGTATTTTTCGGGCACATTGTGTAGAATTGAGTGGAAAAGGCCATTTTACCTTCTTATAAATGATTTAGTGGAAATTTGTGATTTGGCTTCTCAATTTAAGACATTTAATTCACTTTTGAGTAAATTCCAATGTGAAGGCACTAAATCAACCAGTAATTGAGGATGTGGGATCTTTCAGATGAACAGAAGCAATTCAAGAAAGAATAAGAATGATGTCTTTTAGAAATGCTTTAGGATATAATTTTTGGGTCAGTAAGTAATATGCTTAATAAATATTGTGTTAGGTCAGCTTAGTGTCTACATTTTTGTATTCTAGTAGCATTTTATCTCATTTTAGTATGTTGATGAGAGAACCTATTTATCTTGAAAGACACTATTTAGTGCTACTTTCAACATTTGCAGCTGTGTATGTCCAGATGCTTGGGTGAAGCAGCTCTTGTGTACATAAAGCCTTTCCTGTTAGGTCATGTGTCAGTAAGGCAAAATCAGCACATAAGGAGTCTGCTGTCCATTGGAAGCCACAGCAATGTGACTAGGAGCTGCAAGGGCATTTAGGTCTTTTGGAAGTTGAATCCTGATCATTTCTTAACCTGCTTAAGTAATCCTCTCCCATTTAGTTTTTCTTATGATATTCTGAGTTGATGATTCTACTGCTATTTTTGGGAGAGCATAAACAATTTTTTAAGTTTGGTATAGTTTAAAAGAACTTAGAATCATGTGCTTGTCACCTCTGGTAGGAAGGTAATGAGCAGCCACTTAGCTCCCTGTGTACAAGGAAGATGATCCTGAGTCTCCTGGGATAGTTAGTTAATTCTTGAGGTTCCTTAGGAGAGGGGAAAGTTGTCAGCTCCTTGAGTTTTATTCAAGAGTGAGCACAGGGTGCTCAGTGGTCATGTATTAGTTTAGTGAGTGTTCCCTGCAGGAAATGGTCTCCTCTTTTCTGTCCAGTCCTCAAAACTGAACTGTCTGTCCTTCTCTCGGCTCCAGTATCCTTAGCAATTGACTCAATATTGCCTCCTAAGATACTTCTTTGTTCATATTTCTGGGGCCTTGTTTCAATATTTTAGTTGAAAGAATAGGAGGAAATTGTCCTGAACGGCACACAAAACAAAGGGTAGTGCCTTGCTGCCTCCCTGAAAGAAGCAACGTAGCCTTTCCCTAAAGTCATGAAGATAGAGTGTCCACTCCTGTGGTTAGGACCATGCTGTTGGACAAAATCTTGGCTACTTCATACCATTCTTGCTTCTTGATATGTTTTGTGCATCAGTAAATTTTACAACTCACATATTTTCTCTTCTTTGAGGCACTCAGAAAGGGAAGCACAGAAATACCATCCCCTTGCCATTTCATGGGATCCCTGGATCTCTCTGCCTGCTACCACACAAACTTTTCTCCCAGAGCTCTAGAATCCCAGCAGTGCCCCAAGCTGTGGGGCTATGGAGCCAGACAGAAATGAGACTTCCCTTGACTCAAACTTAGAAGTGATCTTTATGACCTGGCTGATTTCTGTTTCTTAGAAACCAGATGCTGATGTGGATCCACTTGGAGGGAAGGGAGCTACAGGCCTTGGGCAC